TCTGAGTCCAGTCCTATTACACTGACCATGGCACCTTTAGCAGCATCAGCAGCTTCCTTAAGACAGCAGACAAAATTATCAGCACAAAAAGGAATAGTAAAACCACCTATCCAAGGTGGCATGAAATTAATACATCTATCAGGCCGAAACAGATGCATTACATGTATACCTGCATTGCTTCTCCTCTTGGTTTGACCAGCTTGAGTCCATCCTCAAAGATGTAGAAGTGAAACCAAATTCAGAGGTAAAAAGAAAAGCATTAACAAAGGAACCAAAGGACCATAAAAAGATGCAGATGATCTGTAATATGCTGTGTAAACACATTAGAACTGATTCCTTTATTAGAATAGGTGACTCAACTAAAGGCTCCAGCAAATGCCAGTGCAGTGTATTCTCCCAAGCTGAGGCCGCAAGTCACGTCAACTGAATCAATTATCTCCTGGCCTCCATCATGAGCACGGAGCAGTTCAACTGCAGCCAGACTTGTGACATAAATCGCAGGCTGCAGAGATAGAGTCATGTGTCAATATGACCATCAATGATAAACTTTTTCACATGAAACATGCCTTAAATAGACAGAAATAACGATTCTAAAGCAGAAAATGATTCCTTATGATCTATGAGATCTAAGAGAATTAAGAAAAAACCTACAAATGCAATGTACCTGGCTTATAACAGTTGAATCTAATTTCTCTTTTGGTCCATTGATGCAAACATCTAGAATATCATAACTGCACACAACATAAACAGTGTATTAATTGTAAAAAACAAATTTACCAAAAGTGAGAGGAAAGTGGGAATTTTGAGATGAATATAGTGAATCTAGTCCTTGAATTATAGTCAAAAGTACAGATAAGATACAAAAACAAAGAATATGCCTTTTGCCAATACCCTAATATATCATTTGCCTTCTTGTACAATTCTACAGCAGAAGGCACACTTTGTGCCTCCTTTCCCATTCCAATAGCTTGTGCACCCTGAAAAACTTACAAGAAGAAAGCAAAACTTCATATTTAGTAAAGAAAACATGATGCATTCAGCAATAACAGTCAGTCAGTGAGCAGACACATGGAATGGAATAATATAAAGAAAACGGAGAAATATAAATATGCTCATGTTTCTTTAAAAAGAAAAAGAAAATGAAAATGAAAATGACAATTAGAATTTGATATCATTGCATAAAATTATCCCACTTCCACTATTTAATAGCTTCAATTCTTCTTGCATTCACCTATTCAACCAAAACTTGCAAATTCGAAAGATTAACATTTTCTCAACTTCCGAAATTCATAAACTGTAAACAGCTCATCTCATAAAATTCCAGAAATAAGATTCTCAGAACCGAACCAACCAAGTAGCGACTGACCTGACCAGGAAAGAGGAAACCGCAGCTAGGCTTGTAGTCGGCGAACAAGGCGTCATTGAGCATAGCCTGAGATCCAACAGAAAAGCTCATGGAAACCCTAGGTCGAGAGAGGTCCTTGAGGCGGAGGCATCGAGATGCAGCACCATTCTTGTGGAACGAATCGAGGTGGAGCTTTCTGAGAGGGAGAGAGGAAGCCATGGCGGAGACAGAGCGAGGAGTAGAGGCTGGCGACTGTGAAGCGGAGCGCGCATGGAAAATGTAGTGGAGATTTTGTGCAGTTATTTTGAATTTTATTTTAAAGAGCGAATGGGGAGAACGAAGGTGGACGTTGGAGTTGGAGTTGGAGATGGCGATGCGGATGGAGTGAAAACAGGAAATCAAAGAAACAGAACGACTGCCCCCAGGCCCAGCCCAACCCAACCCAACCCAACCCAACCCACTCTAAAACTTTATTTATTTATTTATTTATTGATATTAACTTATCGATATTTAGTAATCACATCGGATCTTAAATAATTGAAATTAAACTATGTCAAACCCTTATTTATTTATTTAGGTAGACACTCTAGAGCTTTATCAATTTATTTATTGAGTTTTTTTTTAAATTTGTATTTTTTAAAGTACAAATTTAAAATATTTTTAATATTAATTTTATTTTAAAAAATGAAATTTAATAATTAATTAATTATTTATTTA